TTAGCTTTAAAGGAAAAAACGTATTTGGACTGAAACGTTTTCCTCGTCTGAACTCACTCACCTCCTGCGTCAGCTTGCCGTCGTCGTTGCCCGTGATGAGTCCCACCAGGATGGGGGCGATGATGGCGACGATGGCGGCGAGGCAGTTGGTGACGCCCATCATGGCGCCGCCGAAGTTGGGGGACATGTCCATGTGGTTGCAGAGGTAGCCCACCAGGGTGCCGGCCTCGAAGCCCACGGCCACGCACAGCAGCACGACCGCCATGGTTTGGGAAACGTCGAACAGGCCGAGCAGCAGCATGGTCGTGCCCGAGCCCCAGTGAGCTGCGGTCACACATCAAAGCCCTTCTCTCACTGTCGAGCTGTCGAAGCGAATGAGCTGAGCAGCATCCTTTGGCTGGTGCGGTACGTACCCAGCGACTGGAAGCTCTTCCTGGACACGTTGTGCGACAGCCACCCCTGCGTGTTGACGACCTGGCCGAACCACCCGACAAAGATGGAGGTGAAGGTGAGGGTGATGTAGGGAAGCGAGGACAAGAGTCCGTTGTCCTCGATGTTCTTGCCGAGCACCTCCTTCATGTACGTGGGCATCTCCGTGAGCAAGACCCAGTGGCCGAAGTTCTGGCCCATGTGCACGATGATGAGGGCCCACATGGGCAGCGACGTGAAGATGGACTTCCACGGCACTGGTAGCCGCTGCAGAGGGGGAAAAGAGACCGGTGAAAATCCGAAAATTTTCTGGAAAATTTGGCGACTTTTCCACAAGAAATGATAAAATTCAAATACTTCAAAACAAAATGGGGAAAAAACAAAACTTTCTAGGAAAAAATTGTGTTAATTTGTTTAAAACCTTGAGGATTTTTTTCAAAACTGTTTTCCAGAAAATTTAAATCCCTTGTCGAACAGTCTTTTTGCCTTACCTCCTCCTTGCTGGAGGTGTCGCCGAGGGCCCCCTCGATGTAGCGGCGCTCGTCGGGGTGCATGCGGCTGCAGGTGGCGGGGGAGTCGGCGGCCAGCAGCGCCCAGGCGACGCCCCAGACCAGCCCGATCACCCCCGGCACCCAGAAGGCGGACGGCCAGCCGAGCGAGGAGGCCGCCAGCGCGCCGGACCCCGCCATGCTCACTACCGTGCCCACCGAGATGCCGTTATATACGATGGCCGTGTGTCGACCGCGCTCGACCGGCGGCGACCAGCGGCTCAGCATGGCGTGCGACGAGGGGTAGATGAAGCCCTGCACCACGCCCTGCGCCACCCGCCAAGCCACCACCAGCTTCCAGCCGCCCCACTCGGCCGCCAGCGACGTGGTGGCCGATAGCACCGAGCACGCCACGATGCCGAAGAACAGGAACCACTTGGGGCCGTACTTGACGGCGAGGATGCCGGCCGGGATCTGGGTGCAGATGTAGCCCCAGAAGAAGGATGACAGGATGAGCTGCTTTTCCGATGACGCCCAGTCGTACGTCTGCGAGGAAAATCGTTGCTTAGTGTGCCAGGCAGGTAAACTGGTGCCATTTTTGGTGAAAGGTCGCCGTCGACTACGGAGCACCTGGAGCAACCCACCCACCTTGTAACCGGAAGAGGACTTGCTGTCGGTCATCTCCACGATGCAGACTGACATGTTGATCCGGAAACAGTAGGCCATGGAGAGGGCGAGGAACAGAAGCACCACTTGCAGCTGGCGCCATCCCCACCCATAGGGCAGGTCTTTTGAGGTTTGCTGGTCCTCATATATGATGACCACCTGGCCACGAGCTGAAAACCAAGGGGGGGGGGGATAACTTTATTAAAGTGGGGAAAAATCATTTGGGCGCGCCAAAGCGGTCTGCGGCCAACACGTTGGTCTAGGTCAGGGAGGAACAGCAGGCTATCGCCCGTCCGACCCTACTGTACAGTGTTTACGTAAACAAGCGGCCACAGGTGTGAAACTGGGCTGCTGCTGCGCCGCTACTAACAGGCATACCCTTCGACGACTAAAAATTCGTGGTATTCGTGTGAAAGGGATTCTGAAATGGGCCTCGAAAGAAAAGAAATGGGTGGTCGGCAGATTACAGATCCTGTACGTCTTACGTTACGTCTGGGATTCTGAAATGGGCCTCGAAAGAAAAGAAATGGGTGGTCGGCAGATTACAGATCCTGAGCCCTAAAGAGGCGGCGCGCGGGGCGCGGCGGGTGTGGGCGGGGCGTTGATAGCCGCCCGCTTGTTGTGGACGACGTAGGCGTGATAGTCGCTAATCTGACCGCGGGGCTGCCGCGCGACAATTTAGAGAATGACTTTACAAACAAGGCCGCGCCGCGCCCGGCCAGCGACACACTATACTTCCTATCTCTGTCGCCGGCGCCTCATTCGGTGAGCGGAGGGAGAGGAAGCATACTGAGCAGGGCGGTACAGCGCTTTGTCTCGAGAGGGAAACGACTCTGACATCTCGAGCGCACAACGGATTACCCAGGATTACTTTCGGATAACCATCGGATGGTCCCGGATTGGCCCCGATTATTGCTGGATCTCCCCTAGATTACCCCGGTTTACCACCGGATTACCCCTGGATTGACGCCCGGGATAATCGCAGGATAACCCTCGGACTATCCCCTACCGCGGCCTGACACTGGCCGAGTCTAGCGGGTTACCCAAGTTATTTTCACCTCGGCTTGACTGAGACCTCGCGTCGGATGGCCGCGCCAAGTAGCGTCTATGAGACAATGCTACCAGAAAAATGATTTGGGACAACCAGTTTTTTAAACTCTTTAGAATCGTGAAAGGTGGAATAATAATTTTCAATATTAAATAAGTGAAATCCCTGGGTTTATGCATAGTCTGTGGCCCAGCACCTTACGGAACTGAGAGAGTAGGCAACCCGCCCACCTGTACGCATGCGGTGAAGTATCACTAGGCGGACGGGGTCCTTCATACACCTTATGTACCGGGTGTAACTGTGAATGCGCAGCAGTGTTGCGAGATTGCATACCCGCCAGGTCTGCAGGGGCCAGGGCGCCTTACGGGCGAATTGGGCAGGCAAACCCGCAACACTGCTGCGCATTTACAGTTACACCCGGTACCGTGTATCAAGGCTACAGTACCTATCACGATGTTGTAGGTTTACGTAGTCCAGGGGCTAAGGTGGGCGTACATCACGGAAGGAGGTATTAGACAAATCCGCACGCTGCTGGGGTGTCGTGGTCTTGACGTGCGGTACGTAAACAATAATATTGTGGTGATCACCACGGTGTACTTACCGTTTGGGTCGGTCGTGCCGCCCACACCAGCAGCATATTGAGATACTATCGCTTCTGCCTTCTCCTTCTCGGCGGCCGACATGTCGTCGGAGAGAGGTGTCTGGTCGGTCCTCGAGGCAGATGGCAGGGGGGATCCTCGCGCTGATCTCGTGCGATGCTGTTCGTCAACTGACCGACAGAGGAGCTCGGACGCCGACCTCCACTCGGTGTAGTTCGCTAAACCCCACTGGGGAGCCTGCCAACGGTGGCACCTGGGCGTGAAAAGCGCAGCACAGGTTCGTCAGAGAGCTGAGTCGTGAGCGTTGCACGAGACTTTAACGACTCGACGCACCGGCGCCGATGCTCAAGCCCGACACCCGGGCGCTATATAAGGCTCAAATAAAAACGCCGGCAACCACGAGTCGTCCACCAATTTTCTTGCCATTTTAGAACACAAACGTTTTTCGTCGGCCTGGGCTGACTGACCTCCTGACCTTTTCTCCACTAGTCGACGATCAGCTGCCCGCCGAGGTGTCCCGTGTCGTCTTGCCGTCCGCTTCGCTCTGCTCCGCTCAGGCTCAGCAAGAGCCTGTCTGCTTGCCGGCGACGAGAACGACGAACGAGTGAAGGGACGGGACGGAGACCGCCACCGGTGAGCTGCTGCTGCTATCACTCGTCCCACTCGTTGGTGCCACCCTGGCCCGGGTCGCCCCCGCCCCCTGCTCCTGCAGCGGCGTCTTGGGCTAGCTGGCTGCACAGAGGAGAGAGGGGGCGTGACCGAGACCGCTTATTCGTCGATCACGAGATAATCCGCACGCCACTCACGCTACCCAGGCGCCATAAACGGGACAAACAACACCTCGCGAGCGGGCTGAGAAAAGGGAGGAGGCGAGAGGTGGGG